GCTAACAAGCGCGAGCGAAGTACTTCCAAGGGAACTCGTCGAACGTCTATACCATCGATCAGAATGCGACCCCGACTGATGTTCAGTAACCGGAACAGTGCCATCACAGTAGACGATTTGCCACTTCCGGTTCTTCCACAAATTCCAATCTGCGCATAAGTCAACAATTAAACAAAGTTAAACTCTCTTCGTCTACTTTCCTTACTTTTTGACCCGCTGGAATTTTCAGGGATAAATCTGTGATCACTGGTTCCCCTTCTATGTTATACTTAAGTGAAACGTTGTCGAAAATAATTTCGCCTTTGTTGGGCCAATCGTCCGGCAATTTGGAAGCTAGAAGGTGTTGAGTAATCGAAATATTAATGCCATTATCAAAATTATTTTATTAATATATTATATTATATTATTTTGTGTGTTTGATAATATTATTTGTTAATTTGTTGGTTTTATTACTCATTAATTATAATATGTATATGCATTGAGAATGGACGATTTAAAAAGTTACAAACCATTTTGTTCGTAATTCTCAATAGGCGCATGCCTGTAGTCTGAGATTCTGGCCACGCTGCCCAAATACATTTCAGTTTCTGCGGTGAATTTAACCACCCAGTTTAAGTAGATTGGCACGAGAAGAGTGTAACTGATCGCCAAGCCAACCAAAGCTGGCGTCACGCGATTTGGATAAAGTTCTGCAGAAATCAATGCGGTGAATGTCGCAGAACCAACTATCATAGCACCTAAGTAGTCCTACAGAATATTTTACAGTTAATAATATAGTAACAAGGTGGAAAAATCAATTCCAATTAAAAATTTTGGGAACAACCAGAGCGATTCCTAGCCATCGACTGCTGGAATTTAGGAGGAGAAACGCGTTTGTATTAGAGTCTAGATATTTCATAGCTTGGTCCATGAAGCGGTTCTCTTGTTTAGATGCTCTTAGCGTCGCCAATCCAGAGAATGTTTCAGAAAAATGTGTAATAATCGGCCACCTGGTACTAAAAAAAAGCAGAGAGGTCAAGAACAAAGAAACATTATTAAAAATGAATAAAATAAGAATTAATTAATGTAACATACCTGCCGTCTAATTTCTGCAAATGGTTGGCACCCCGCCTGTAGAATCTTTGAACGAAGAAATAAGCTACGCACATGGGCACAACGGCGATCAAAAACCACGGCGATATGATTGCGTTCACGATTATCGCAGAGCCGCAAAGCAGGACGAAGAACGTTAGTCTTTGAATCGACAGAGATATTTTCTTTAAAGGAAATTAATAGATAATCGCGTGAAATTCTTCCAATTGCTATCAAATATATTAAGAACATATCAAACCTTGTCGATGACACCGATATCAGCGCTGAATCTGTTTAAAATTTTCCCAACTGGATTCTGGTCAAAAAAGGACATGGGCACCCTGAGGAGTCTAGATACAACTTCCTCGTGTAATTTTCTTCTTGCTTTGGCGCCTGTCCATTGCCCGGTTACGTTGCACACCAGGGATGATAGTATAAAGGCAAGGGAAAGAGAAACGTAAACTTTGAAGTAGAACACCATCTAAAATATTTCCAAGAAAAATACAAATCTGAAATCGGGTTTAATTAAAGTGTTTGAATACTCGAAATTTACATTTTCTGAATCTTCATTGCTGTTGTCAGTCCATCGACTTAACCAGAGATCGATGTACACTCGAAGAATCTGACAAAAGTTAGCTACTCCTATATAAATTATACTTGGGATCCAGCCTCCGGCTTTCACGTAGTCCCAAAGGATCATTTTAGTGACTAATCCACTATCATCTTCGTCTTGAGATTCTCGTCCTTTTTCAACATAGTTTCCTAAAATATTTGATAATTTAATTGCTTGCTTTTCTTTTATTTATTTAGTACATTTTTGAAATTTATACTAACTCCCATTGATTTCAGTTGATCGATTTATTTCTGTAGATTCTGTCGATAGTAATCGTCTATCGGGTAAATGATCATCGTCCTGATCTTGATTGTTTCTGATGAACATAAGTTCATGAACAAAATGTTATGATTTATTTTTATATATTTTATTAGTGAAAAATGATAATTTATTTTACTTTATAAAGCTGTAGTGCATCTGCCTGTTAGAGCTGGCCGGTATCAGACTCCGCAGAACATTTTTATCTCTATTTGGCGACACCTCATTAGGATGCGTGCTAATTATTCTGTAACAAATCAAAATTTGTTCAAAATACCATAATCTGTTTCATATTTCATATATTTTACCAACCCTCCAGAAAATATTTGTCTAAAAACGTTTCTCTGCCCGTTGTCAAAAGTATTATTCCTTTTCCTATAAAAAAATTGAATTTTAAGTTCGCTTAAAAGATCCACATAGTTTTGTTCCCTATACCTGGGAACGTCGTATCCACTCTCAATAATAGTTGGCGTGCTGTTCTGACGCAGAACAGGCGGTGGCTGCCTCTGAGGTTGAAGACTCGACGATCTGACAGCGTTTCGGTGGAACTTCATTTTCTTGTTAGCGACGTTCCATTCTTCCGTGAGTACTGGCAGGTCTGTTAAATCGTGCGCCAAGTATCTCGATCCGTGAAGAGTGGCTCTTCGCATTCTTAATGGCACGAAACCTGGAGGATTCTATTACAAATTCCTTCAGATAAATTGTTTGTTAAAAGATTATATATAAAAAATATTTTAATTCATATATCTGTTCATTAGGCGTACGCTACAATATTTAAAAATATTGTTTGGATATCTAATGCCTGATAAAAAATGAATGAATCAAAATTATATGAAATTCAATAATAATTCACCACGTGAGCGTCTTGATCTGTGATCCACGACCCATCGTCAGGCTGTTTGTTCTTCGCATTAATACCAATCCTAGATACAAGCCTGATCAGCGACCATCTGTCTTTCGCAGTCCTGTGATCATAATTCTGTTCATCTTGCCTCGTCATTGCTTTCTTCCATTCGTTCGCTAATTCAGGATCGGAATCCTCGATCGCGGACTTAGTCCCCACTGCTCGAACTTGGCATCCATCCATAACTACAATCTTCAAACGATCACTAATTATTAGACTTCAGATTTGATGCATTTATAAGATATGTATAAAATAATTTTATACAAGAAATAATTTCAATTAGCTGGGTCATACTTGATGAGCAGTGGATAGCAGTTCCAATCGATGAGTGACCATGATCACGGTGCGACCACTTCTGAGTAACAATTTTCTGATTGCTTGATCGAAAATTTGGTGCCCGACCTGGTGATCCAAAGCAGACAATGGATCATCCTGGAAATTTTAATATTTCATTGATTCATTCTAATTTTTTATCGTCCATTACTTAGTTTTCTTGTTAACAACGAAGAGCAATTGGCTAACCATTATCACTACATCTGCGTTGCTATAAACCGCTCTAGCGATAGTCACTCTCTGTTTCTGTCCACCACTTAAATTGATCCCCTTTTCACCGATCCTAGTGAAATCGTGACCTGGAAGGATATCCACGTCTGGCTGCAAAGCACAGGCTTTCAACACATTCCTGTATCGCTTCAATTTGAACGGCGATCCGAACAGAATATTCTCGCGCAAAGTTGTATTTTGCAGCCACGGTTTCTGAGCTACGTACGCGACTTTCGTACCTCTGCATAGAATTTGTATATTAAACACTATGAAAAGAATATTTTGTATATAGAGAGAATTTACGACTAACTTAGCCCATTTGATGCACCCAGTTGTTCTCTGAATTTCGCCTAACATTCCTAATAATAACGAAGTCTTGCCGCTTCCTGTTTTTCCAACAATTAAAGTCAGCTGACCTTCAAATAAAAAAATATTGTGCAAAAGGTATAATATAAAAATATAATAATATATCGATAAAGTAAATTTCATAAAATAGAATAATTATGAAATTGTTTTTTGTACATGTGTGAATTACCACGTGGGACGGTAAGATTAGCGATAGATAATAGACTCTCATGTGTGCCCCAAGAAAATCCGCAGGATTTCAGTTTTAGCACAGGCACCTCCGAGTCCTTTTCAAAAACCGTGTCCATAGAAGAATCTATATCTGATTTGTAATCTGTCAGAGAACAATATTGCCTATCTTCTTCGTCCTCTTTGATATTATCCAACGATCCAAAAGTGGGAGTATTGTGTGTTTTCGTCGTTTCCATCTTGAATTAAATCCATTGTCATAATCCATAATTCAACGATTCGAGGTAAATTATTAATTATCGATACCTACAGTAGTTTCATTGATGGAATCGATTTCCGATTGTGTGCTCCCAGTGATACTTAAGTTCCTATCTAAATTTGGCAAGACATTATCTGTTTCGGGGAGCATAAGGAATTTCTCCAGTCTGCTTGTAGATATCTACGCGAAGCGATAGTTCAGAATATTTATTAAAGGAACGAGGATGGAAATTTGATAGTGTTTACCATGGCGTTTATGATGATTGGTACCATTACTGGGAAAATGAGGAGAGGCACTGTAAGCTGTGAAAACAAGGCCAAGCTAGCGAAAACGCTTCCTGCCTCGAGATTTCGATCTTCCAACCAAAAGTAAGCGCCGAAGGTAAAAAGCGTCATCAGTACCGAAGAGGCGTGAACCAAGAAGTCTAATTACGAAGAATTAGAATTTTGATAAACGATCTTCTAATAAATGAAATTAGTAACTGTAACTCACTGATAAGGGTCCAATAAAAAGAATCTTTGTTTAGTGTCTTTAACTCATTCTCCCTTGTTCTCTTTATTTTCCTTTCGAAAATATCTTCCCAAGCTCTGAGTTTCACTAGCCTCATCCCTTGAAAAATCTCGTTGACCAAACGTAGTCTGGCATCGCTGTTTTTCTAAGAACAACGTTACTTTTAATAAATAATTATGATCATAGAGTAAAAGCGAAATTATTGTACATACAGTGATTAATTTCGAATTCTCTGACATTTTTTTCCCAAGTACCAATTGAAGTGGTGTCACTATAAATACGCAACAAAGTGCGCCGATAATTGCACTGATCCCAAGTTTCGTATACAGAAGGAAAACGATTGCAGTAATCTATCAACAATTAACAATTGAGAAATGAAACAATTTTTTATTTGCAAATTTGTGGGAAACTGAAGAATCTGTGAGCCTACTTTTAATGGTATTGCCCAAATGTAGTGGCCGATCCAGAAAAAACTCATCACGTTGTAAACGTCTTCTGATATCAAATTAGTCAAGGTCCCGATGTCTGCAGACTCCTGACATTTACTTCTCTCCTTGTACGATGGATTCTCCTCCTCTACGATGCTCCACGAGCATAGATGTAGAGCTTTATCATACAGGAGCGCCTGGAATTTTTAAATCACGCTGGTACTCGATGGGCTACGCATTTCGGGGTTTCAAGTGTGCGCTGGTACCTGAAGCGCGGTCTTCAAGCGAATTCCCTCGACACAGAGGACGTGAGTGGAAGCCTGACTCAACGTGCTTTGCAACAACGCGAACAAGAACATCAACAAGCCCAGGAAGTAGCCGTTTTGCAGTATTTCAGAAAATGTCATAGCATTCTGAAGCAATTATTATTTTATTTTCTTTCTCATTGCTTTGAAATTAAATCTTGAAAGACTTAAATTTATTATTCAAGTAAACTAAAAATGATACCATAGAAGTTCGATGATTGATCGTCGCATTCTGCGAGGCTGAGACGTAATTCAGAATTTGTGAAATGCACATCGGACCCACGAGGGTTGTAGCATCCCCTAGTAGCTTCATGAAACCCCCGACGGCAAAGGGATACCAAATTCTCTTCCAAAAGCATTGCCAAAGCGACAGTTTATTGGTTCTCTCCTGCAAGGATCAGCTATAAAAATTCTCCGAATTCGTTTTATTTTCAAAATTCTTCGAATACCTTATAATAGTCGTAAATTTTTCGGAATTTCTCAAACTGTCTCCTGGCAGTCTCTTTTTCCGGAAGCTGGCCAAGGTCTTGATTATCTAGAAGACTGTTGTATCCTTTGGAGAGCAAGCCAATCATCCAGTGGAAAGTGATCCTTTCTAAAAACGAGGCCTCATCGTGTTTGTACGCTCTTCTCTTTTGTTCTCTTTTCACCAAACATTTCCGCCTCTTCTTCGCCTGTATATGATAAAAATCCACAGTTCTGTTGATAATTAGTTTATTTGTATGCTCACTTAATTTCACTGGGTCAAGGAGGCTTGAAATACATTTAGAACTGTCTGGGGATTCCTCCTTATCTATGTATAACGGTACTCCACTTACGACTTAAACGAGCTACTCGTAACTAGAATTAGAATCGGATATGATGTATACCTTTCTTATTAGGTACCACTTGGATTTGAAGTAATCGAATATATTTTTTATCCATTTGATTCGATTGTGCACAAAAATAGTACATGTAGATATTGAAAACCTCTGCACGGTTAAATATAATTGTTTGAATTTTAAAACGCAGTATTGTGAAATATTCTGAGATCTTCTTTACAACTTATGTATTGGTTTCTAGGTATACTAAATAGGAAAGTAGACATGAAGTAGTTACGATAGCTGCCTGCTATTTTTGTGAACTAGTTTACATCGGGGGGAGAAAAATTCGACGAGCCTAGAGTCTTGCGCCAGGTTGAGATAATAAACATTATTATTCAAACAAGCTGAGTAAATGTAAAACAAATGTTTGCGCGCCGCTTGCTGGCTCTTCTCGATAAGGTTGTAACGCCTGTGTCCTTAATGCGGCGTTTGCTAAGTAAGAAGCAAGCGTACGTGATAGATTAATTAAATGAGATTCAGCTACAAAAATTCTATTCTAAATTTATTTGATATTATAATAACAAAATTCCAATTAGCTTTATTATTATCAATTGATTCAATTAAAAGTTCAATGTCAAAAGAAATATTAAGGATATAGTAGAGATAAATGATTTATCTTTTCTTGAGAGTTAAGGTCATTTCACTAATTGACTTACCATAAGATAAAATGTGTACAAGTCCAAAATTGTGAGGAGGCTGCAAATTACGGCGGAGATCCCTGCAGTTGTGTACCGAACGTGTTTCACGGTCAGACCATGTCTAAATACGCATTCAAGATCAACAAGAGGAAAAATAAAGAAACTGTATCTTTAGCGGTAGAACTTTGCTGTAAATTTAAGCAAAACTGACCTAGAAAGGAAGATGAATTTCCACGCCCGCGATAAGCCAAGGGCAGCGAAAATTCCAATAGAGAGTGTAGTCTCTAAACCATTCCGAGTTTCTTTTCCTCGATGAAGGACACAAGACGACAAGACAGCCACGATTGCGAAGATAGTAGAATAAGAAATAGAGGTAAGACAGGACTCGCACATCTCCAGGACAAGTATCACTAATATGCACAATATCATCGTACTCAGCAATGATGAAATTTTGCAAAACGGGGTAAGTTTTCTACAATCTCTAAATAAAAATTTAAAAAAATTTTATATCACATTTTTATCCTTGTTTAGTAAATTGAGATTTCATTTTCACATTTTCTATTTATTAATTTCATATGAAGTCATTACTTGTTTCTAATATATGTATGTATTAAAGAAAATTGGTACATAAATTTCTGACACACCTTCGATTACGAGAAAATGAATCCTGTTTATGGCAAAGAGAAGCTTAAATCACTTTTATATCGATCCAATTTCCGTACGAGATCGATCTTACAAACAGCAATAAAATTATCTATGCGACTAATTATGTAGTTAACTGCTTCGCCCAATCATAGTTCAATTTTTCCCGCATCAACTTCGGGAAATTGAACAACTTTCCTCTATAATAATATCTACTCTCTCGAGGTTGTTCTTTAGCTTCCGCCTACTCAATCTTCCTACTTCACGATTCCCTGGAATCTCGATCGATAGGATCATCCCGGGATTAAACGTGTTCCACGGAAAAATGAAACCAAGCTTAGGGAATTGCTATTGATTTTCCAGCGAAATCGTGGGGCTGATTTTACTTAGCTTCGTTAAGATTCCTTGAACGGGGAGTGACGCAGACCAGAAAACGATGTGTGCACGCACTTTAAGTGTACTTACGAGCACCCCGACCACGTGCCGTAAATTATTCCGGTAATTAATTCTGATCTTCTGGCGATCCGTTTAGTCCGTGTTTCTTGTTACTCCGGTAGCCGGGTAACGGGAACTTTGATGTTTTCACTTGAAAATCTTACATTTTCGCCTTAACTCTCCGTTCTTTTACTATATTATTTTTTTCTCATTGAAGATATGTAATAAAATCTGTGACTTTGAATTGTGGTATAAATTAAACAAATGATGAGGTTTTTATAATCTTCGAAGATGTTATTAGTTCAATATTCTTAAAACAGAATTCTTAGTAATCCGATAATAAATCTTACTAAGAATCATTTTTCAGATTGTGTATTTTCGATTTGAGATACAGGAAAAATGGGAGTGACGAGCGTCTATTCCCTAGATTTTACGTTTCTCGGAACGGGATCACGAAAACTTGTTTGGCGTTGGTAAATAATTGGTAGAGTTCTCAAGAAACCGATTGTTCTTTCCTCGTTCAACAAAGAATATCCGATTCGTACGTAATAGTGAACTACGTTATTTAAAAAGTAATAAATAGCTCCTCTTAAGGCGGATGAAACAGAGCCGAAGAAATTAGCTTTACAAACCTTTGCCGCGTTAATTGAGACAATTTGTTTAAATAGAACGTGGTCCCTCCTGAATCATGGGGCTTTCCAAACGTGGAACTGTTCGTTTAATGAATTGGAAGTTGCCTCAATTGGAGCTACCCAGGCCTAAATGCCTACTAAACATTCGGCGCACGTTTTCCTCAAACAATGACACCGTTGTGGACTTTTTTGAACAGCGCAATTTTATGTGTACCAATTTCCGTTTTAAGAAAATAGAAAAATCAAAATAGCAATTACATTGGAAAGTTGCTTTCAACTTTTCCTTCACATAATTACCACTATCGATCAACGTTCATTTTGTTATCTTAATCTCATGAATTACCACCTCTTGAACGTGAAATTGAAATCTCAGTTTCGTTTTTTCCTCGAACCTACGTTTGTTTGCTGAATCTGTACTTGAGCACGGCGATTAAAGAAACGAGGATGGCGGTTATGGAGACGCAAATGTTGACGAGCTCCACGAGGCACTCCTCGGTGGGATCGCTCTCTCGGAACCGAACGTGCGTGCCGTTTTCCGCTTTCCAGGACCATATCACTCGTCGCGTGGACGCTGGCAGAACCCGAAGAAATTTATAATTTTTGCAGAATTCCATTTTAATTCTGCTTAGGAAAATATATTCCATTCTCAAGCATCATTGTTGCAACCTGAAAATCCGTCATTTCTATATATACATTTTTTCTATTAACGATCTTCGTCAAATTTTCTTTAAACATGAAATGGTTTGCATGATTTTGTATATTGCTTTACTACCGGAATAGACTCTGGCTTGTTCTTCTACGTCTGTATGCCTCTAAGAAAGCATCCTATCTCAACTAGACGCTTTTACATAAGTATCATCAGTTTATTTTGCTTTCGGATAGTTACGCTTTATATACATTGTTCAGTGAATGAAAACAGAATTTCGCAAGGAGACACGTTTTCAATTCTCACCCGTGACATAACGATACGAATCGATTTCAGGCTCCGGGACAACGGGTACCAGTGAACCGACAGTTTCCTACTTTTTTTGGCACTTTATGCTTGTACGAAAATATCTCACGCTCGGATAACTCTCCCGATGCGTTTGATAAAAAAGTGTGCTCCCGCGTAAACTCGTATTTCCAGCTATCGTGCTCTTTTTTTTTCAGAAAATAAATGCGCGCTCGACGAATCAAAGTTATCGTTTTCGTCCAACCAGAAATAGATTTTTTCTCTTTAAACACGGTGAAACAGATTCTAAACAAGTTCATTTTAATAATACAAAATCTAGTTTAAAAGATTCATTTGCACGAACATTTTTGGAATAGTGTTTATTTTATCTCTTAACATAAAACAAAATTGAATCGAATCGCGTTGGTCTCACGCGAAAGAGCTGCCGCTTAATGGTACAAGTTAACACTTAATGTTCTCGTGCAAGAATAGACTAGTAAAATGAATCCATTAGGCTGGATGCGATGTCTCGACATTTGCATGACCAAACATAAGAATAAGTAAGTAATTACTCTATTGATTCTACGACGGTGTAACTTAACTGCTTCATTTGTTCAGTTTGCTAATTACAGAAAAAGACGTTGAAGTAGACACGGAAGCGTTCTTATCGTTCATCGAGTAGACGATTAATTGAAATTCACGGACGGCTAGTTGGCTAAGTAATCCTTGAAGGCAAAGAAAGAACACTTACGTGTCCCCCAGCCGGAATTTGTTCACCGCGGCTCGTTACCATAATTTATACACCGGCTCCGTTGCACTGTGATTCTGTTATGTCACTGTGTTGCACCGGTATGATTTATGCGTTTCGTTTGCGAGATTGTTTCTAAATTCTCACGCCTTCACATTCAATTACAATTTCGTCAACGATAGATTTGATAATGAAGCTTTCTTTGTGATCCAACTTTCTAAACTGCTCACGTGTGTAAAAATTGGTATTCCGTTGTGTTCGATGAGTTTACACGTCATCCCATGAATCGCTCTTGTTATTCTTTAAGACAAGAAGCTCGTGCATCTCGCCAACACCAAGTTCCATAATTGTGATTCTTTCACCGGATTTTTATTTTTTAATTTTTAATGATATTAAAGGTCCCTATATATATTTATCAGATTTGAATATCTGTAGAACTTTGCACTTACTGTTTTATGAAAGTTGACGTTATGTAAACACTTGGTAAAATTAAAATTGGCGGCTCAATAAAATTTTCTTCATGATTTATAGTAGTTTCATTCATGAAAATTAATTTCTGTCGACTTTAATCGTGATACAGAAACTCGATTTAAAGGTGGTGGCAAAGCGAAAGTGCATTCGCAACAAAAATTCAATTTTTTAACATTAGTAAGATCAAAGGTTGTTATAAAAATGAAAATAAAGGTGCATTCTCGTATTATCTGGTCCCCCAAATCTGAAGGTGAGAGAACTGATTAATTTCAAATGTATCGAAAAATTGCAAAGGACTTTGACAAGATTGAAGAGGGAAAAGAGTCAAAGGGTGAATTAGGAATGCACTCCAAACGCGAGGAGCATGCATCTGAATTTCGGAGGGTGAGAGGAACCACTTGTCGGCTTCGAAATTAGTATTCTTGGTCACGCACGTGCGCGTAGGTCGCGCGGACAGACGAGAGCACGCGTGCTTTCTGTTCGACGATCCGCGGCTTACTAAACAGATATATATTCAAGCGAGTCGATCTGAACACGAAGAGAAGCGAAATGGTAATCCCATGTGCGCGATGAGTCATCGGTGAAAAAAAAGAAAAGATCACGGGTACCGGCTATGTTGCTGGCAAAGACTCTTCTTTCACCGGAAACGCAAGCCCGTCCTAGAAAACCAAATTCCTGGTGCGACCCAACTGATCTCCTGGCTGCTGATCTGTTTTTCGATCACAGACCAGAAAAGAATTTAGTCGCGGTACTAAGAAGCAAGATTGCGCGAATTCGATGAGATGAGTTCCATTTCTGGATTCGTTATCGCAGATTTGGTAATTATGTAACTTCAGATAAGACGAAATTCTTTCCTTATTTAAAAAATGTTGGTTTTTGATTTCAAGGATGATGGTGATTGATTGAAAAAGACGTTCATTTATTTGAAAAATATTTAATAATAAACATTGACAATATACAGAGAAAATACGCCATAAGAAGTCGCTATGGGAGTAATAAGAACCTAACAACTGGTCCAGACTTACAAAATATCATCAAATCAGACAATGATAAAGGTGTTTCCGTACGACACCCCGTGTTACTCCTATCGTTATTTTTGCAACTAAAGTTTTTCGAGTTGATCGTATCCCTTGTTCACTCTCGAATTATACGTCCAATACGTTCTTACTGCTGCGGATGTTTGTGCACAGTTAACGCTCGAACATCCTGCGTTTTCACGGCGTGAAATCGTTCACGTCTGTTTCAGCATATTATATTTCATTTTTTTACTCTGAGGGGGATTCGCAGCCGGAAACCGATTTGCACGCGCGTCTCCCGTTGCGAATCCGTCTTACATTTGCGAGAGAAGCGAAAAACAGGTGGCATTTAATAGCTGCTTACGATGTCCTCTATTTTGCATTCTCAATTCTTTTAGCTGTTTTTCTTTGTTGTTGTTGTATCTTTTGACCCTTCCCCTGCGAATAGGGCGCTCGCATTTTCCAAAGAGACGCTTCTCGCTACAATCGCGCCGGATTCGACCAAGGGTCCAAGAAGAAAAGAAAAAAGATATACGCTATCATCGCAAACACTATCATCATTCGGCATACAATACACGAACACATCATCACTCGTCGCTCTAAGAAGATTAAACTTATTATCGTAGTAACGTTCTAATGTCATGGAACATCCCTTACTTGTTAAATTGTTCTCTTCTTTTTCTCGCTTGTCCACTCTTTACCCTCGCTTTCGATAATTCGAAAAAAGAAGACGACCACACTCTCGCGCCCGGGATCATCGCGGTGTCGTTCGCACGCCCATGTGTCCTATCTTTCTTTTTCAAGAACGTTATCCCAATGGGTGTGTGCGTCTCGGCGCGCGACGATCCGCGAGAATCCCAAGGCGGAATCAGGTGGTCACCGAACGCCGCCTAGTACGCTAGGATATGTTGCTCAATAGATGTGTCGTTTAATTTTTACGTAAGTCATATAGTCATCTAGATTCACTTTTTTTTTCTTTAAAAATCCCGTTTACGGTGTACTGCGTTTAATAATTAATTAGATTAGAATCATATATTTACTTTTACTTTATGTATAACGTTACGGTGCGTATCGATCGTACTTGGATTATTTTACAATGCGATTACTTCGAGAACGTACACGGCTGGTTAACGGAAACGACGTGTAAAAGGTATGAGACTCGAGATTTTCGTCCAGGTTGATCGACGATTCTGAAAGAGAAGATCGCGTTCCATCTAGTGGTTCGTTTTGATTAGTTCTAGAAATACGAAGAAGACTAGTGTCTGAACGAGTTCTCGGCTCTGCTAATATAGTGTACCTAATACGGCGTAGACTTAGATTTTAGATCGTAAAACAATTCTGTATAAACTATTTATACAATCCTTTTGAAATTTCCTTCGAAACTGATTATCATTTTAAAAATAGTCCGTTATCGTTTTTTTAATACTGATTTTATTCTAATTGATAAATGGAGGTAAATTGCATCTTAGAGCCAACTCGATCCCGCTTTTGAAGTGGAGTTTCATTTTGCTGTTCTTCGTTGAAACCATAAGGGCTCTTTTAGGTGACTGTGTGTAATAATTAGAATCTTGTCACAAAAATAATTTGTATTGATTTGTACGCGTCGCAAGGGAAGATTCTCTGTTCTAAGATACAGGACGAAATTCTGCGATGAATAATCGTGCGATCACACCTGGACGGGTCCCGCCGGTTCCGCGGCGTCCCAAGTAATTATGATTATCGCGAAACAGCCTTCCGCAAAAATAACGAGAAAGGGATCACAGTGTAAAAGAAGTAAAAGAGAGCCCGGTGACGCCTGTCGCCGTGAATCCATCGGGAATTCGTGTACGATAGGCCTCTACGCGATCGGGGAACGATAAAAAGATTTCGGAAAATAAAGGGAATATATCAAACAGTTGGAGGCTTTCGAGGGGGGAGTTGTGCACTCGTGACGTGAAGAAAGAACGCGAAGACGAATGGGCATCGCCTAGAATTTGAGCTCGACTTACGCTAGCCACTAGTTTGTAATAGCCTACCGATAAAGGTATCGATTACGAATAAGTATAAATTGTAATTACAGTGTACAATATACAGGCATTTAGATCATTTTCTCCTTGCGTCCCCGTCCTTCCTCCGTGAACGAACACGATCAAAATCCCTTCCTAATATCAATGCTATCACGTCCCCGAGTCCCCCTGTGTTAATCTCATGAGTTTCACGTGTAAGAAAAAATGTGTTCGTTCAAGGAGAAGATTGCGAAGGACCCGGGGCCGAAGAAAAGGACTCGCCTCTAACAGAGAACAGTTTCCTCTCTTTCACGCCCGATTCTTGTACATCGGTAGCATCCTCCTGCTCCCTTTCTCATTCTATTATAGTTTCCTCTTTAAAATCTACGTTCGTTTAATTTAAACGTTACAAGAATCAAATGAGTATCTTCTGAGTTGTTCAGTTTAGCTCCTAAAACGGGCGAATCCCGTGAATTACTCAATTTGTGCTCGACGAAATCGATCGCGAGGGTCGATTCTTAACCGTTAATTATTTACATGTACTGGCGCTTGCACACGCAAAATCAAGAGAAATCAGAACATGATGTTATCTCTTCTCGCTCTTATGGGAGTCGACGCGGTTCACGGGTAAACGAACCGGTCGCCCCACGATATCTAGCCTAGGGCATCTATCCTAACGATAGATTTAGAGTTTAAAACGCAACCGACGACCGGCGCCTAGCCGGGTCGTCTCTATCTACGTTGAAAAAAAACAAAAGAAGATAGAAGATGTAGAAGAAAAAAGAAAAGAACATCTTTGTCATATTTGGCTATTTCACATGACTCTTTGTGTCAAGCTATTTTTGTTCTTTCATCGCGTTGTCAACCGCGTTTCGCTTTTCGTTTATCGATCAATTTGTTACTTTTCTTATCACCTTACTATTATTTTCGACCTTTCACTCGCAGGTTCATTCACTCGTCGCCACTCTCGCGTTTCCTTTCATTTACGCTCCAAGTTGAGTCACGACTTACCTATATTTATATGTATATATTTATATGTATATATTTATTTTTACGATAAATCTTCACTTCACTTGAACTTCTCCTTTCTTTTTTTTATTCTTAAAATCAGAGATTATCACTCACTCGGCTCAATGTGCGTACCATTTCCCTTTCGCGTAATTCATGTCATACCTCTTACTCCGAGGGATACTCTGGTTATGTGTGTCTGTGTTTGCGTGTGAACCCCTTCCTTTCTCTCATATACCTCTACGATCGTTTTTTTTTTTTTTTATAAAGAACAGAAATTTCCGTTGGCCGACTTCTCGGGTCGTGAGATGAAACTATGATTCGGTGATCGAGAACGCTATGAAGAATCGAGGAACTTCAAACTTAAATCAACTCGTTGCTCCAAATAAAGAATAAAGAAACAGTAACATACTTTTCGGTGGATGAGAGTTTAATCATTAATTGATTCACTAATGCTATTAATGATAGAAGGAACTTGGAAATGAAAAGATATGTTGAAAACGGGTTCTTCCGGCAATACAATGAGAATTCAGAAAATCAGTCTATTAATATCAGCGTTCTCGATCACTCGAGTCAAATTTCGTAACAACTGATTCGAGTCTTATTCATAGCGCTAAACGAAAATCGTTTATTAATTCGCAAGCGATGTTTAGATGATCCGAGGAATTGGAATGGCGCATTGTTACTGGGTAATCGTTATTCTATTGATATTCTGGCCTTGGACCTTCCTGTCTGCATAGAATAATAATTTTACATCGTTCTAACTTGCAAAAGACACGTTGTTCGATAATGCTGTTGTCGAAGAGTTTAAAAACTTAAGGAAAAATTCTAAATGATTAATATACCACGAACTAAAATTATTCCAATTCCTCCAAGAGACGTCTAAAAAAGAGAGCTTGAAAGAAACTTCGACCGACTAGCCCCGTCTCCCTAAAACTTCTATTTTTAAGAAATCGCGTTGCCACCTTCACTGGAGCGTCGACGAAGTTTTGAGTATTTAGGAAAGCTGCGTTACCACTGCCATAATCTCGATTAGGAACCGGTAGAATGATTTGACTAGATCCTGTTACCCAGAATCTTTCGGTGGTTGACCAATTCGGGTTCATCCATTTCCGTTCTTCGCCTCAAGTGTTTGTATTCTATCCCCTAACGTCCGCGAATTTACGCACACGCGAGCGCAACATAGACACACACACATATTTGGCATAGAACCTTATCAGTCACGCGTAACTGTCCTATCAATTTCTCTCCTTTATTTCCCCTCTCGGTTAGCTACCTAAACAGGGTACCGCGTACATCTTCTTAAATCGCGGATCGCTGTGTGTCGCCGGAAGTCGCGTTTACCTCGTCGACACAAAGGAAGAGTTCCTTTCCGGCAGCCATTTGTGAGAGTTCTCTGCATTCTCGTTCACCGTGCGCCTTTATGGCAATTCATATTTTCGATACGAAATTATATTTTACAATCGTGGAAACAATAAACGAAGCGAGCATCATCCTGTTGTCTCTCGCGTCGTTTACGATAACTCGAATAAGAAAATAAAAGAATGATTCATTGATAAAGGGAAAAAACCGGTTGATTTCCAAACCGACGAATGAATTATTGTTAACATGGATCAATATGTACGCAATTAAAATATCCTCACGTTAAAACTTCTCGGTTTTCCGCGTGTTCTAAAAGTTTCCCCGATTATTAATAGAAACGTGCACGAGCAACGAATTGCATAATTACAATCGATTTCTAGAAAGATCAATTATTCTATATCTATCTACTTATATTATATATATGTATATACATACGTATATATACACGTACACCGGCTGTAAATTCGATACGCACCCCCCCTCCGAAAGTTATTAACCAAGTTTGGAATGGCTGCCGGGTCCGAACTCGAACCCGAGACGAACGGACTGTTTCTACGACGCGATGCCCATGCTTCTTTATACCGATCTTGGGATTTCGATAACTGTGGAACAGAATTTTGAACAGCTTCGAACGAATCAGCCTGACCTAACGTTACCCAATTTTAATGTCAAAACTACCAACGTCTCTCGTTTGAAACTTCTCACAGAGATCTTAGAGTTCACGACTTTTCTGTAAATAGTATTCTAATGAGACACTACTCATTTCGAGACATTTTGTAATTTTTTGCAAAAATGGCAAGCTTCAAATATGTATAATTTCTATTTTTTTTTTGTAGAGGTAGGAGTATTTAAAACATTAAAGTGGTAGACCTAACGTCAATCTCATCTCTTTTTGCTTTAAAGCGACCGACTCGGTGAATGTTTAACGCGTCGCCAACTCAATTTCAATCGATTCTTTGTCCGCTCTTTGCCCGTTAATTCGATTTGCCAATTTTCTTGTCCACCGTCCTTCTGTCTCTTCTCCCGACCGATTATCGAAAGTTCGACGACGGTTCGGCGAACGGTCCTACGTCCGCTCGAAGCCCCAATCGAGAAGAGCCATCTCAAACTTGAAGCACGTCCTGAATCTAATTTCGATTCAAACTATTCTACCACCGCTTCTTTCTCTGACCTTTGATCTCTTTCCCTACCGATTATTCTTCCTTAGTAACAATCGGCCAAGTTGATTCTGCCTCGTTTCTTGGTTCGAGAACGGTTTCCTTTTTGCGGTAGTCGTTTGAACAATGGTTCTGGGGATCGTTCATTCGGTATCCAAGTTTTATTAGCATCGAAGAATCTAGGCATCGCTGTGTGGGGTGGATGGATCGTGATCGATGGCGGATGACGAGATGATTGATTGTGTGTCGATTTTCTTTCGTTCTGGTCATGTTCAACTGAGTATAACGGTGTACTTTTAATTTCTTTTTGGAAGGCTCGCGCTTAGATACGCTTTGTATCCTTTAATATGGCGTGAACCTGTTGTAACCGCTCCTGTATACTGTCGCCTGTAAATAAATTCGGTCCCTTTATTAGTCATGATCAACATAAATTACGTTTTCAGAACTTCTTTTAACATTATCCTCTAATTAATTTAGGAATGTCATGCAGTCATAATAAATAATTTTATTCGTTCAAACTCTGTAGCGATATGAAAATGTTGAAATTTGAATCTGGAAGTGTAATATTTAAAAATAAATTAAAATTACCCCGTATCCGGCTACTGGTCCAATACCGTGTCCAATGTAGGGATCGGCGTACTCACGTCCGTAACTGAAATATCATACAAATTACACATTGATCATCGTTGATTGCATCGAATCGATGCACATTAAGGAAGGAAAAAATGGAAGCAAAGAAAAGGGAATACAAACTCAAGGTTTTAAAGGTTTTCGGTAGGGCTATCAGGTTTTTTAGGATGGACATCAGGCTGGTCGGTGTATCTGCGACTCCTAAGAGCTCGACCACGTCGACGAGGTGTTCTGTAAGGTACGGACTTCTCGGTGAATAATGGTTCAATCAGTCATGACAGGATTACTTATAATTAATATTTTACAATATGAATATTAACTTCTCGCGTGAATAAAGAGATCTTAGAAAATTTAGATCTCTTCAATTTCTATTTTTAATCCATTTGATTTTGGGATAATCTTACAATCATTATACAAGGTGTCCCACGAAACACTGGGCAATCCTTCATTTCTTAAGTTATGGGAGGTAAACGGAAGTTTTTAATGAAATGAGTAAATTTTGCTTCTGTGCTTCGTGGGTCTCGTATATTCAAAAATTCATAATATAATATTTTATTAATGGACTGGAAAAAAGAGAAACGCATTCGTGAAGATATCACGCTGACTGATTGTGAGAGATGCTGGTAGAGAGAGAGCCCGAGGGATGTAAGGCCTCGAAGAGAGTAAGGTGGTGGTGGATGTTCGCTTACCCCGCGACTGCGGCATATCCTGCGACCGGTTGTGCCGCAGCTGCAGCTGCGCTGTATGCGCGCGCAGCTACCGCCGTGTAGGTCGCTGCAGCTGCGTAGGTGGCCTGCTGCGCGGTCGAGAGGGGCGTCTTCAGCAACGGTGACGCTGCGGCCGCTGCTGCCGCGGCCTGAAACAGGAACCATGACCCGCCATGCAAGGCTCAAGCAAGCTCCAAGACAGACCAGAGACAGGGGGTGTCCTACCGGAGAAACGGTACTAACGCGTCCTCTTTACCCCACGACGCTCGCAAACCCACCCCTTGCACGCTTTCCAAATATTGGAACAATAACAGGGTTGGGATTGATGCCTTCATGATGGAAGTATTTTGTTGAGGATGTGCTGGGCTTAGAGATCTAATTACAATGATAGAATCTTGTTTGGTCCTCGGACGAAGTGTCTTACTTTCGTTTTTATGATAAAGGAATATAAATACTGAGGATAGGGCTGGAATTGCGTTTAGAAAAATTGCACGCTTGATCTTCTGTTTCTAATTTACACAGTTTCATCCTTTTTTTTTATTTCGTTACGTGCAAGGATTTTTACGAGCGCGTGTTCTCAAAGTGCATGGACGAAACAGAGCAGGCATCGCGTCGCGCGTCTCTCTTATATTATATTTTCCGAGCGTTTTGTTTACGCAGCATGAAAACTTTTTATACGCGCGCTCCAGCGACGAGTACCCGTTTCATCCGTGCGCTACAGTGCAGATAGTAAAAAGTTTCGAGCACTCAGCTAAATGTGGTTCTCGAAGCTACTGTTTTCTGTCGATCAAAAGCTCAAGGAGGCGTGAATTATGTACAGAGAGGAGATGCGAGTGATGATCGTACGTTATTCATTCGAAGTCGATTCTCGGGATGATGAATTTCTCGTGTATTTTCTATTACGAGAATTTGTTCTACGGGCATCGCTGAAATCGAATAGACACGCGGGATTTGGATTTTAAAGGAGAGATATCAAATACCGAGTGAGATTTAGTAGGTTGATGATAACTGTATGAGATAGGTTTACAGAAGCGGTGAGTAACGTCGTTTGCATCGAGATTACAACGCCATTTATTATTGAAGCTAAATCGAGGGTGATCTGCGTGCATCTAGGGTGCTAATGAAAACATCTCTTCACCTGTCGAAACAAAACTTCCTTTTGATAAATCGAAATGTGACAGTGTTCATTAAACGACTTTTTCTCTACACATGACGCAAAGTTTATTGAGATCTTCAAAATTCCTAATAGAAACATACATCTGACGTTGCATGGAAGATGTTAAATAAAAAATTCCTACCCTATAAATTTTTAGAAGTATTTGCATTTTGTATACGAAATTCCATTTGACGTCACTGAGAAGTTCTTATGCTGCGCACGGAATTACTGTTCCACGGATTGAAAGCCTGAGCTTATATCCTCTCAGCGTTTAAGTGCATCGAAATTAAATCTCTCCCTTTTCTCCGTTTTATTAAAACTTCGTGTAATTCCCAAATCATATTACTCTTCTGTTATTCCTTAAACGAAATCGTGCTTCTCTTTGTTAATGAAACGCGAGTCGTTTGCTAGATTAGAATCTTTTAATTAACGACACGAATTTCACGGAGATTGGATAAGAATTCCTGCTGTCTAAAATTCATTGAACGGAATTTGATATCATTACATTTGAGAATTAAACATATAAGGGTATCTGGCAAAGCCTGGGAAGCTTACTTCTGAAAGAACGGAACGTTTTTCAAGGCGATGTGATTAATGATTGCCCTCCAGGAGACCCGTTTTCTTTCCCAAAGTGTCTATCGTGCTTTCTCATAAATCATAAGCCCTCGCCTCGTGGCAATAATTACAGTCGACTTTTCTTCTCGCCATTGTCAGAAGTAAAAAGAATCCAATCTCTTCATATAATAATATCTAAACTATCCGTCAAATAAATTATATTTAGTGTATCTTAATATCAACAAGGCTATTCGTTTGAGGCACGAGATCTTCGGAAAACTTTTGACAATAATTCTCTGAGAACCGAGCGAAAACACATTTTCGACGACGGCGCGGCGCCAGGAATTCGCGAACTCTTCGCGGGAAGGACGAGAGAGAGAGAGAGAGAGAGAGAGAAAAAAAAGGTGTGACGCCGAAGTTTTCCACGGTCGCATCGCGTCGCGGCAGGGCGGAAAAACACGGGGGAAAGTTTCTGGGTCGCGGCTGATTCCCTAATGTGAGACGCGTTCCGTGGGACGTACGTAGCGTGCGATTTCGGGCCGGGATATTTCGCGTGAATCTGGGTCGAGTGATTCTCGACGGCTAGCTGCACCGCTGTTTAGCGGACCGAAGATTTCGAGTCGGGGAATTATTTAACGTTTCCTTGGAGTCCTGCGACTTATCATTCTCGCCCGTTGCCCTTGCCATTTGGCGAATCAGATCAGGAAATAGATGCTAAAGAGACCGCGTGCTGTTCCACATGTCTGCTTGCAATAAAAATGAGATCGTCTCTCTTCTATCGTGTGATAATTAGAACTATTCATTGGAGATCGTGTATCATTGAATTCTTCAATGATCTTTGCTTGTTTCATTGACATGTGTGATATTCAATTGAAGATTTGATATTTTAATTGAGCCTTTAAATACGATGTCCAAAACATAAAACACATCTGACGAGACGTGTAATTAGTACTTCTCCAAAAGACCGTTACCTACCCACGTAATTGAAACGCGTTTAAAAGGCGCATACCGACCTCAATTAAATCTTGGTTAATCTCTAGGAAGCGGAAACCACTGTTACAACATCCTTGATCGTTTTTCCTTTTCGCGTAGCGTCCCGGCATTCCGTTTTGCGCGCGGGAAAGGTCCGCGCACCGTGAAACGACCGAAACCGCAACCCGGGGAGAAATCTCGCGTTTACTCGCCGCGTCGGTCTGCTTCACGGGTCAGATGTTACGTTAACGATCTCCTCCATCTCGACGTAACCATTTCGCCACGGGAACCCGTGCCCTGATAATTGCTCCCTTTAACCCCCGTACCCACACTTCGCGCGAACCTCGGAAATTGGACTCGATGAGTCGCTAATTGGTCGGAAGGATTCCCACCAAGTAGAATTTCAAGTAACGAATGTCCATCTTCATTATAACAACGAAGAGCTCCTTAGCGCAATTCATAGTTAAGAAAGGATGCGAATATTTAATATTAATTATTGAAAGAATTTTAAAGTCGATTTTAAAATAATGAAAAATTTCGCTTTGTAAAGAATGAATCGAAGATTTATTTTACATTTCGTTAAACTTTGAAACGGAGATTCCAATTTGAAAAGGCAGAATGTCCTTTTTAATAACAGTGATCAGGACGTAACGAGCAAGGTAACGCGAATGAAGATGTCGGGTGAAATGACGCGACGTTGATTTATGAAGAGGAAAAAGGGCGGCGCGCCTCCACGCGAACTTCCTGGGAAGAGATCGTAAATCTTGGCCAGCGGATCCACCGATGGCTGAAACCTATCCCGCCCGGAAAGGTGTTCGGGCGAGCCGTTTGCCGCCAGCAGGAAATTAGCCACGGAAAATTCTGCGCTCGCGATTCGACGCACGTGCGACTGCCGGAAAATTTACGACGCCGACATTTTTCGGCCCGATGTTTACTCGCTCGTTCGTGCCTTGCTTGCATTTTACATCGGCTTATTTTCGCATGACCACTCTCTCAATCGCTAAATCGACGTTTATTTTTGTAATCAATGCAAAAATTGCATAAACGCGCCTAACACCCTTCAAAAGTTAATAAATTTTTGGAAATATCCTACGTAATCGAGTAACGATTGCATGGTTCATTCTAATTGAATTACATTTTAGTCTCTTAACTATTGTTAATGCACATGAAAAAATTGTACGACTTTCAATTTTTAAAGTTTAAAAAATTTTTAATACTACTCGACGAGGTCTATGTTCACTAGAGAACAGTTCAATAAGATATCTAGCGTTTCTAAGGGCAAGAGACATGCCTCCTATGTACACCTAAGATACATTAAAACTCGTACATACACTGGATCGCAGAAGGGTTGAGGTATTGCCATGATAGACTGTGGATCAACCTAAAAATTTCATCGATTCGAAATAGGCTACGTATATGTACGTAATATGTACACAACGAGTGGGGTAAAGCTGGGAGAATGTTTCTAAAGTGGGACGTTCCCTCGCTCCGTGGAAAATCGACGCAACCATACACATGCGGTGAGAGTGAAAAGCGAGTATGTATTCAATTCAAAAAATGTATCATCCGAATGCATTTGAAAACTCGATTAAAATAACATTTAGCCCTAAAGATTATTACTATCCACTAACATAATAAGTTATCTAAAGACGCGTTATCTTGAGGAATCAGGGAGAATAAAGGAATGGAAATTTCTAACTATGCAACAGTCGAAGCTCGTCGAGGGTTGAACAATCGACTCGAGAATCGAAACCACGGGTGTTGGGAGTTTATAGACACTCGAATGCGTCTCCCCGAGCATCTGGGATCTCCAGCGTCTCACTACGCTCGCACCGGTTCTATCGTCAAAAGCCAGGGGAGGGAACCGGCACCCTCGATTAAGTCGCCGGCGGAGAACTAATTTCAAGGGGGTGAATCTGTCGCCGGAGAAGCGACGGCGTTCAGAGAACGGGGCGGTGGGTTGAAACTCGGAACAAACTCTAAACTAGCTAAACAACTCTTTCTAAGATAGTAGAAGTGCTCACCAATTGCGGCCCGCGCCTCAGTCTCGCTTGTTCCCAGACCGAATTCGATCTTAATGGAAGGAAATGGGGTGCGGACACCAAAGGGATGATCGATATTTGAGTAACGACTCTGTCGTTCATTCGTGCTTGTGAACTTTGAAAATTGTCAAATGTTTTGAACAGTACCACGACTCGAAAGAATATTGTTTCGTACTATTTTATAATAGATATTATCATACGTTTATATAAAAAAATATAAAGTATACTCTAGTTGTCTTAAGATACTACGTGAAAGCGACAAATTCGAGAGAGATAAACGGGATTCAAAATCACTTTGCAACAGCAATAAGATATGAAGATAATTAAAAGAAAAAAGAAAAAACCTACTAATCGCATGCATTACACTAATTTGAAAGAAGGGAAAAGAAAAATGTTCCAAGCATTCGGGAAAGAAGCGTAAAACAGAGAATGAAGAAGCGTAAAAAGGAGACTTAATTATTTTTTATAGAGAGGAGGGGGGGATAAAAGAAAAAAGATTTCGTTTCACTTGAGTGAATGGGATTTAGGTAGCACTATAGTAGTTGATACGGGCGTTACGGCGATCGGTGAGCACTCCTGATATATCGGCCAGGCCCAAAAAACGAGAGAAAAACCAGCAAAGGAGAACAAAAAGAAAAAAGTGAATAGTGGGAGAGAGAGAGAAAAAAAATAGAAACGAAAGGAAAGAAACAAACAAACAACGGGCGAAGAAATGTTCACACAGGGCGGACCCTTAAAATTCCTACCTCCAGAGCGGGCGCTTTAGCCTGAAACACAAACGGCAAACCTGAAAAGAAATTTCTGCCACATTGGGCGGGGGCGGATTTTTGATAATACGGCGTCGCGTTTTACCGGGGACCCCATGGTGTCTTCTAGCTTATTATAGCGACCTAGGCTAGTGCCCTAAAATCTCTTTACAATTTCTCGCGCGATTTAATCGAGTTCATGTATTATGGAATGTTTCAAGTAAAGATGAAGATGAATGAATTCGGGAGGAAGGGATGATACGGATAAATCAAGCGACAAAATGCAACAAAATGCTACGTGATCTTATGACCCGATAGAATGCAATCTGAGACGTTTCCTAATATGAATCTGATAAATTGGTAGATTTTGGTAGATGCATAGTTTTTCATATTAGAGAATGTCGTTTGATAAAAGAAGGAAAGTCAGTAGAGACATTTCTTTAACTCGTGAAACTGAGAACATAAAGGCGTTCGATTTTGAAATTCATTAATCGACTCTTATTAAAATAGCAATATTATTCAATTAAATGTAACAATTATAGAGATTTATAAAACTTTTCAGCCACGTCAGAGAAACACCGTTTAGAATTGCAAATGATAACAATGCGCGTACATATGTATCTCAATTGAAAACAGAAATAAAAATTTATATTAACTTTTCACGCGTGTCCCGTTCTCGTGTTACGTCCACACGGATTGCGAGATAGCGCGACAGAGTTCGAAATTAATTTTCATCCCGCTTTTTGCGTCGTGCTGAAAACGAGTGGAATGGCTGGGAAACGATAGCTGTCATTACTCGTTTCCTGCGTCTGTTCTTTTGCAATTCCTTTGTTTTCTATTTGGCCCGAATGAGATTCACGTGAATTTGAGTACGAGAAGAAAATGCTCGGAAAAAAGAAAATAATATGGGTGAACAAGCGCACAGTGGCAGGTTTCGTCAAAATTTTAACCAAAAGTGAAATAACTATTTTCTTACGTTTTAGAGATCTGACAAGTGAACGAATTTCTTTTATAGATCACCGAAAGATAAAGTTTTACTAACATCGATCCTTTAAATTAAAATACAGTTTGATTTTATAGGTTTCTATAATAATGAAGGAGAGTGCAATAAATAAATTTTAGAATCATACAACAATTTGTTTCAATGGTTTGCTTTCAATTTTGAGATATTAATCCTGGCGAGGATTTCAGCGAGATCCGTCACTGTGGGACGGTAGGAAATAAAGAGCGAGGATAGATGAAAGAACGCGTGTTGAAACGAGATAGGAGCAGACGTAATTGTTATCGGGTTCTCTGTGCGTTTCACGTGTGCGTATGTATTTGTGTGAGGGTGTGCAAGCCTGGCAAAATGTGTCAACTAACGTCAGCTGTTGCTTGAGGCCATTCCAGCTAAACGGGTCCGGAACAGAGTTGCAGACTTTAGTCAATATTTCTGTACCTCTTCTTTCTTTTCTCTTTGTCTATTTCATTTTTTGTCTTTGTGTTTAACTTCTCTTTTACTTTCGGATCATACTTTCTCTCTCTTTTTTACTGTTTTATTCGCGATCACGTCCGGTGCTCTGTGTTCCTGTGGCGCGATCGACGACGCTTCGAGTGCTTCGAATCGAACCTGATCATCGATTGAACGACTGCGTTTTTTAGAGGGTAACAAAGGATCCCATCTCTCTCCCTGTTTCGAGTAAGAGCGCGTTTAACCGTCTCCCATTGTCGCGCGGAAACAATGTTTCTCGTTCGAACAGTGCCGTCATTGTTTCATTTCGGAACGTTCGAAACTGCGAATTTGATAAGATCCAAACATTTTTGCGCTTCGAATTCGAATGACAGTGATACGAGTAAAAGCCAACAACATTACTAATAACTGAACTATTGTTTTTAAAATTTGTCGATGAAGGAGCTTCTAATTATTATTGAACGGAATTTTAAATACAGAAGTGCTGATAGTCGATTTTTCGTTCCGCTGGTTCAATCACGTTCAATTTCCATCGTCGAAGTCGATTAGATCAAAACAGCGAACGGTAGAGAAAGAGAGAGGGGAAATCGATACACAAGCAACCGATCAAACCGGTTCGTTTACCAATTAATTCGCAATAATCTAGGCGGCAGCGTCTGAAAAGTGATCGATTAAGCTTGGCGACGTTTCAATCTTGCCGGAGGCGTTGCTCGATTTAATTAAAAACTCATTCGTCGCCGATCTGACGCCCCCTTCGGAAAACGGAATTCACCGGGCGACAATTTCCGGGCCGGAAAATCAAGAAAACGTTATTGTTCGGATTTCCTCACCTGTAGCCTGTAGTTGGGATCCTGCGTCGCTGCGTGTGCTGCTAAGAACGGGTCGTAATAAACGCTGTAAAATAAAAATTGTTATTGTTAGATTCGTATTCGTATCTTACTACCTGGAATCAGTATCAGTATTCCTTCATATAATCTTATCTATCTTCAAATTATGAAATACAAAGTTAAATATCGCCTTGTTTAATTATTTAAAAAATGTTGGAGACTTCAATGTCCATAATGCACAATAACTGTTCCTTTTTCAGCAAAAAAGGATTGGCTACTTACGACGTTACATAAATGAAAATATTAGCGAAAACATTTGAAGTTGAATGGATAATGAAATTTGAGAGTATTGATTGCTCTCATTAATACAGCATCGAAAGGATTCGATTTAATATCTCAGTTCGTTGAATTCACTCATAAAAGAATTGTATTCTTTCAAATTTGGGAATTCTCTTTCTTTCATTTCTAGCATTTAATTCTTGAGACTCTCTCGACTTCGAAATTGTACCGACAATTTCATTTTCACAATTCCTAAGCAGAATATTCATGTACTAATTTTTTAAAAGAATTTCCTGTTTATGAATGAACCACAATTAATCATCGGGAAGTGAGATAAAAGTTTATCGCGTTTTCATCCCCGTCGAGTTTACTCGTTCGCTGGTATTGCCGAAAATTCATGAATCACGGCTCGCGTGTCCTTGCTCGTGGAAAACGCGTCGCGTATCGTCATGACGAAGCCCGACGGCCGTGACGAACGATTTCGACGCCGCCCTTATTTATGAGTAACGAAACTCGCGATTGATCGACGGTGAAATATGGTTGCCACGCGGAAATATCGACGATGCCTGGACGCATACTGGCCCCCGCAATTTTCCATCGAACCTTTTTATCTAGCTACCTCCACGCCACGGAATTGTTTAATTAACGGACTGGAGTTATTTATCGACGCGTGAACGTATTTTCGTTGCAGGCTCGACCAAGAGAAAAACTCGATAGAAATTCCTACGTTATCAAAAATTGGTGAAACTATTCCACGCGGATGCCCAATAAATTGAATTATCGTCTTGGAAATTAGGGACGGTCGTTCCAAGCTTGTTTAATTAATGCCTCTCATATAAAACATTCTAGCCAATGAGAAATTTCGAATCTGCGAATTTAGAGCTCTTTAATGACAAATTGATTCGAACTTATTGACCTATTCATTATTTCTATCGATTTGTAACATACAGGGCGTAGTAATATTGATATTTACAATACAAATACAGTTGATTATTCTACTTGATAAAGTACAGAAAATAAAAGTTGGTATAGCAATAATTATTTCAAATACACTCTCACTACTTTAGTTATACAGCACAATTTCCTATAACGTGAATTCATACATGTATAGCTCGTAAAGTATTAACCGCAGGAGTCTACTGTAATTTCTAAAGTAAATAGGCAACGTCATAGCGATAGCGAATGTTCATTCTAACCCTTGTGTAAACGTTGACAAATAAACGTTGAATTCTTAATTAGTAATAAATAGTTCGAACGCGTTTTCCACAAGAAAGTCAATATTGCTTATGAACTAATTTACATTGACTCAAAGCTCTACCGAAGATTCTCTCTGGGGAAGCTGGGAAGATTCATATTCAGGAAAGGTTAAATCACAGTTCAATTTAACTCTCATCTGCTTTTCGTTAATATATAAAAAATTCATAATTATGTAAGTAAATGTATCGAACGTTTCACGAAGTTTTTAATTTCCAATACAAAAGCTAAAATTAATTGCTTTATTGACCTCATTACTGTGATGCCAATTTAATGCAAGAATGAAATTAAGAGAGAATGAAGAGTGGATCGTGGTATAAAAATCGGGAATTCTTGTGCACTCGCGTGGTCGACGAATCGAACAATTCGTCGAGTGGTGCTACCCCTCTATACGTGTATATCTTTGGATCGCGTTCATGCTGGCAGGATAACGAGCGGAACACGTGCAAGCTGATTTGCAGCGGGCAACCGGTGTACGCATGTTCTGGCTGGTTTCGATGACACTCGATGATCCGCGGTGCCGGTAAATTGGCGGAACTTCTCTTGTTCCCTGAACCGATACGACCTCGGTACCAAACGCAAAACTGAGCGAAGTGTGAATATCCACGTGAAATTACGGGTGTGTCGTATTCAGCAGGACGTCGCACAGAGAGATTCGGGTCAGTGATTCAAATAAATAAAAAA